ATCGATCCAGCCTGTCCAGATCCCTCTGGTAGATCCCAGATCTACTCCTCCAGCAGATCAACACTCCCACCCAGCTTGGTGTTGTCTGCCAGCTGACTGAGGGTTCACTCAATCCCTTTGTCCATATCATTGATAAAGACATTAAGGAGAACTGGTGCCAATACTGGGCCCAGGGGAACGCTAGGAACTTTGTAGATATCACTTGCAAAGGAAACATGTTTAATCTTAAATCTTAGAGTGTTCAAGTCTTAATGTGCTGGCTTAAAACTACTTTTTTTGTTCTTACAGATGTGTATGGATTCTGAAAAACACATGATATATACCTTCGGAGGCAGAATTCTGACCTGCAATGGCAGTGTTGATGACAGCAGAGCCAGTGAACCGCAGTTCAGTGGATTGTTTGCTTTTGACTGCCAGTGTCAGACATGGAAACTTCTGAGAGAGGATTCCTGTAATGCTGGACCTGAGGATATTCAGTCCCGAATAGGACACTGTATGTTGTTCCATTCTGTAAGTATACGAACTATACTTTGATTTATGATGCTTGACTTCAAGGAGAACATCTGGTTTTGATTTTCCTTGCAAGTTTGAAGCTTTTTAATCTCCCAAGCAGTGTGTTGTCTCACTTGATTTTATGTTCGCTGACATTCTGATGCTGCTTTGGTAAGCGCAGGTGGTATTAATTCAAGTCTTTGAGCTTTCATTACTTCAACTGAATAACGTTTCAAGTAAAAAGCAAGGTGAATTTTACATAGTTGATTTTAATTGAATAATGGTAAATAGACCGGAAGGCTATGGTTCAATTTGATCTAAAGAGTTTTTGCTTTAAAGCTGGTAGAGCAACTTAGAAGCTTCTGGTCTAGTAGATACCTATGTAGTTACTGAAATGGTAAACTTGACTAGTGCAGGGCTTACCGGGTGTGTATTGAGGTGTACAGTTCTCATATTCCTTTGTGCTGGGCACCCAGCCGCTGCTTGGTGTCTTGAGCAGCTCTTAACAGTTGGGCACGGATGGCATTATGGGGACTTCATCCAGAGCCTGATGGAAAAGCAGAGGGACAGGGTGTGTATAGCATTTTATTTAGTATTGGATGTTAAACCCCACCTTCTGTTGCCTTTCCAGTTGTGGTTGTCGACTGTGTGTTAGCTTAAGTGCGGAACATGGGAACTGCAGGGTGAGGGTGGTAAAGGCAGGGTGGTTAGTGTTGTAGGTGTTCTGGAGTAGCTTTCTGCGTAGGTGTTTTCAATGGAATAGCACAGTACAGAGGGGATTAGCATCAAGTAGGAATGCTGGCATGGGTAGATGTGGTACGGTGGCAGTTCTGCACTGAATTTACGTGGCAGCTTCATAGTGGTAATAGGGGGAGTTTGTAGAGTTTTGCTGACATTAAACCCTTACTTGGGGGTGGGGAGGAAAAGAATTAAAATTAATATTGTGGCATTCAAGCGTGTACTGATACCATCAATTCAAAACTGAAGAGTTTGAACAGTTTACTGAGTTTATTTCTCTTGCCCTTTCAAATGAAAGATCAGAATTTTTATAGTGAATACTGTGCTTTCAATTTTATTTTTGTTTGAATGGCTCTCTAAAATCTGGTGAAAAACATATTGCCACACAAAATTCTGCACAGGTACCTGAGGATTTTTCAAGTATGTGTCTGTGGTAAATGTAAGAATACAGGTTTCTGTAAGCACAGGTCATGGAAGTTTAAGTCCTTTGCTGTTTTCTCAACCATTTGAAAGAAAAATAATCTGCCTCTTACGGACTTTCCACTTGGCATGCTTGAAAGAAGTAATAAACCTGTTATTCTTGGCTTGCTGTTTGCCATTTGCCTGTTCTGAGTTTAGTAATGTGCTGGTACCTGGATGATTTCTCTTACAGTCCGTCTTTTGTTCTTGGTTGTTTTTTTAACAGTGAAGTTATGATCTAATTGACTTTAGACATGGATACTGTTAATTCTTTAATATTAAACTTGAAAAATGAATTTCTGTTTTAATGTTCTGAAATTATAGCTTGATCAGGCAGGGCTATGATAGTTAACTAAGTAAAATCTCCCTAGTCACTCTAGAGCTGAAACTCTTTTGCATACAGGTTTGTGATCTCATATCGATCATGAAAAAGAAGTCTTTAAATTGGCATGTGTAAGAGGGTTTTTCGGGTGAAGTTGTGAGCCCTTAGCAGTTTAGCTCTTGAAACTGTGAAATCATAAATTCAAGAATCAAGAAGATCCAGAATCCAATCAAGAATTCTTGAAGTTTTATTAAGTTTGAGAATAATACACTGTTCTGCGTAATTGTTCCCTGTGAATCTTTGTGGAGATGACAGTAAAAGATACTTACCAAATTAAGACTGGCAGACTTGATAGTTAAGGCATGGTTTTAAACTTACAGGAAACATACCTATTACTCTTTGATTAATTAATGTTTCTGTTAATGGTCACAGTTGGCCAACGTACTTTCTTGAGTTTTGTAAAGACATGCTGCTTTTTTTTTCCATTCTAGAAAAATCGCTGCTTATATGTATTTGGTGGCCAGAGATCGAAGACATATTTGAATGACTTCTTCAGTTATGATGTAGACAGTGATCATGTGGATATCATATCCGATGGCACCAAGAAAGATTCAGGGATGGGTAAGAGTATAACTACATGTTGATTCCTTGCCATTGGTACAAATGAGAAATATATCGTTAAGTAGGTGAAAGGCCACCTTCAGTGTCCTGTGGTATCAGATTAGCATCCTTAACTAGCCCTACGTACCTAAGTAAACTGCGCTGTATATAGGTTAAACTTACACCAGCTCTTTTGTCCTTCCTGTCATTTGACACTCACCATCTTCAGCACAATACAAATAATTGATGCGTGAAACCACATAGCACCTCGAAAGAAAAAAAAAAAATTAGCAAAATAAGAACTAAAAATATCTTCTTTGAAACTCCGGCAAAGACCAAAAAAAAAAAAATAAAAGAGAAAGCGACTTTTTTCCTAGTTTTCACCAAGTGAAAGATGCCATAAAATAGAAATAATATGCTTGGTTTGAGATGCAGAAAGGCAGGCAGGATGCTCAGAGACAGAGAATTAGAGTAGAGGGGCAGAGGTTATTTTGCCTGGCAGGAGCTGACTAGAAAGATGAGACTCGTTGTCCTGTTATTCTTGTACTAAATTATCAGGGAAGGGCAAAAAAGGGGAGGAGGAGGGAGCAAGGCTTCAGTCCTGTTTGGTTCATACCACTGGAACTATATACACCAGCCATAGTTTTGTATACCAGAAGCCTTTAAAAACACCCAAAGTGCATTGTAACGTAACCATAAAGAACGGATTTTTTTTGTTACCTTTTCTCCTCAAATGACATAGAGGAGAATATTCTTTTTTTTTTTCCCAAAAAAAGGATTTCTGCATGTATAAGCACATCATTTTCCTGTTGCAAATACCCTGATTTTCAGCATACAGCTCAGAAGTTGAAATTTGTGTTGCACTGTATACTACTATAGGACAGAACTTCTTAATATTTCTCATATTATGTATCTCATATTATGTATATATAGTCCTGATCTTGTTTTCTCTTCTTCCAGTTACCAAAATCACAGGAAGTTAATTTATCTTGAATTTAGGCTGCCCTCCTTATTTTGATCAGGCTTAATTTTTAGCAAGTAATTTTTCTGAACTTTTGGAGTGAATTATTGATGGTTATGAGTTATTGTTTGCTCATTAATTTAGTTATGCCAATGAGAGAAGAGTACCCAAGCTCTTATTCTCTAGAGTAATTTATTTACTTGAGTGCTTCCAAGAAAGAACCAGCTTGTATTGTCAACAAATCTCCTTTATTAAGGTGCCTGCATGTTACCTGATGCTGCTCTCCACACACCCACGCGCTGTTTGATGTCTTTAGAGCTTTTAAAGAATTGATTTTTTTTTTTCCCATGAAATTGCTAGCATTCTGCCATTTTGCTTTTTTAAAACTATGTTTCTTTATAGCCAGAAGCTTTAAAACCTGTGGCCTTAAGCTGACACCTGTGTCTACTTCAGATTTAAAGATACTGAGCTTGTTTTATGGCTGGAGAAGACACTGAGCTGTGCTTCTCAGCAAGTACATTAACTGCAAGGTTCGGTTAAGCAAATGAGACTGTAATATCTAGCCCTCCTCCCCATTCCCACGGGCCCCAAAGTGGTGAATAGTAGACTTTGTGAGAAAATGACTCATTGGAAATAATTCACGAGTAGATTTTCAGTTTACTGTTCTCCTGTGTGTCGAAAGTAAACAAACAGATTTCAACGTTTCCCTTGCTTTTGAAGGAAAATACTAGGATTATTTGCATTTTAACAGGAAGATAACAAAATACTTGCTACATTCAGACAGCAAATGCTGACAGCACTATTTTCACCCAAAAAAGCAAGTCTTTCTTGTGCTCTTGTTAGGTAGTGATATACCATTTTCATCTGTTTGAACAAAGTGATTCCCTGACTGGTGGCTGTAAAATTTTAAGCTGCTTGGTGTGATGAGTCAAGTTGAGGATGCCTGACCTAAATGTTCCTATAAAGTCCCATGATTACATTTTGTTCCTGGCTCGCATGTGGCATTCAGTTCTATTCTTAGTTGAGCTATTTTGATTTTTAACCTTTCTAAAAGAACTTAATTGTGCGTTTGTTTGAAATTTCTGTTAGCGTAGTGAGAAGATTTTTTAAAAAGTAGTGAAACGGATAGTTAAGGATTATCAGTAATATGGAGTTGTTGCAATGTTATAAAACTATGGTAATGATACACTGGCTTTGCTGCTGTCATCTTCTGGATGAGAGATTTATGCTGTTTGGTGTTTCTTTGCTCTTAGTTGTGCTTTTGTTGATCTTGAACAAGTTCCTTGTAGAAGTGACATGTTTGAGAATATTGGGTGAAAAATATCACTTAAATTTTCTTAATTTGGAGTAAAGTACAATAATTTTAGCAGGTTCAGGTGCGCTTTTTTCATTTCTGGGAAAAGTTCAAATTTTATCAAGGTACAATTTCTGAAAGATGGGTTTGCACACAGCTTTGCCTACTGAAAATATCTCATGACTTGATTTTCTTTGAAACATAGGTAAGCTTTGCAGCTCTTTGTGTCTGGCAGATGCTGTTTGCCAGCGAACATGGGTGCTTTCCCCAGCTCATTGCATCAAAAAACCTGGTGCTTTCTCTTTGCTGTCAAAAGGAGGGCAGTACAGTGAAATTAGGCCATTAGGGATTCTTGTCTTTCTGCTGCATGGTAACGTGTTAGGAGCAAGAAATTTTTTTAGTTCAGCTGGACAATGGACAAAGTGAGACTGAGGTAAAGAGAATGCAACTGTGATAATGAGTCGGATGTGAAGGAAGGCAGTAGTGTACAAACTGGAGGAAGTGGAGTACAGCTAAACAGAGCTTGTGGTTGGAGGAGAGGCAGATGTGTGTATGTTGATGGACATGCCCTTTTAGAGCAGTCTTATACTTTTAATTACTTAAAAACCAACACACAAACAACAACACACAAACAACAACAACAAACCCAAGCAAACCCAACATGCATATGCCAAGAGTGTTATCCCTGAAGCAGACACGTGGTCTAGAGATGCCACCAGTATCAAATGTCTTCAAAAGGCTACACTGACGACTTGCCTGACTTGCTTAGCACACAATCCATGACTAATCACGAGCAGTCACTTCAGGTCTAAGGGAGCTAATGGGAACACTTGTGGTCAAGGTTCCTGTGATAATCCTTTTTGGCCCTGACTCAGGTGGTGTGTCAGAGCTGTTGGTTAGAGGGAGAATTTTCTTCTGCAAGAGAATCAAGATCATCTTATATCCCTTGGCATCGAGTAAGTTCCAAAGTCAAATGAGAGCAAGCCTTAAATGTTCTTGTGGCTCCTTTTAATGGTGAAGTAGTTCTTATGGGTAGAGTGCAAATATTTTTTTCACTACCAGTGAAGATCTCATGTGCCTTGCTGGGGCAGGTGCTCTTTCCAGATACAGAGCGATGCACCTGAGGGATGGGAAGATTTCATGACTAAGTACCACGGACAGAGGCGACACAGCCCACTCCAGGAAATCCTGATTTAAAACAAGATGAAGTCAGAAAACATTAATCAAAACGGCTGGCTCAACATGGCCAGAGTCCAAGTCAGACAAGCAGTCTGGATATCCCATTTTGGTCATCTTTTTGTGACACCTGACATGTTTTACCCTTGTTCAGTTTACAGTCTACCTTGCCAGCGGCCAGCGTCTCTCTTGCCATGGAAGCACTTTGTTTTGTGAGGCACCTTATGTGCTTTTCGTCTTGTGAGGTGCTTTTCTGAAAAAAATCTCAAAATACTTTCCACTGACTGTGAAGGTGAGAAGGAGAGCGGGCAGTCACCAAATCCTAAGGATGCTTAGGCAGAGATGGCATAGCAGCAGAATTTCATTCAGATTTACTAACTGACCTGTTTTTTCCAAAATCTCATGTTGATTTTCATGGAGAGAACTGAGTGTTGGACATTGGGTTGTTGCTTTTGCAACATGACAACCAAACTGTTCAAATGGTCTCCTTAAGCTGCTCCTTGGCTGACAGCCAACTGCAGTCTCATCATGAGAAATCCAAGAGGATAATCATTGTCTTGCTGTGTCAACAGCTGGCCTGTATGCTATCTCTATCATTCATCAAAGTTTGCTCCATTAAAGTTCAGGGAAGGTGCTGCTTCAGTTTTATATGAATTACAGGTAGTGGTATGGAGTAATTTGCCGACCTACCACTTTTTTTACAATGGATCTATCAGGGAGGTGCCAGGTTCTGGTGAACAGCAATATCCATGTGATGTAGCTTTCTCCGATTTTTTTCATCACGAGGCATCACAAGGAGGGAGGATACTTGCGAGTCACTTGTAGTGGGATTAGCAATAACGTGTTCTGAGGGTTTCGTAACGTAGGTGGCACTAAAAGACTATCAATGAACTTACTTCCCTTAATTATCCTTAGTGAATCCTTCAGAAGTGGTCTGTAGACTACAAGTTTTAGATCATTGTTTTACCAATGCTGTGTTTCAAAGCATGTTTAAAAGCATGCTGTAGTATCCTCTCAAAGGTGAGAGATGAGATTTAATTTCCAAACTTCTGTCTAGTACTATGAGAACCACATCTGTGAACTCCGATTTAGTGCTTTGCAAACGCTGTCTCTGTGTAAAAGCTCTGTTTTCTTGCTTAGATACTGGCAGCAGCCAACATTGCGCTTGAGACAACTGTAGCTTTTTGCACATACAAGCCAGAAAATATTCAGCTTGCTGAAATGATCACTATGATCAAATAAATGCCTGTAAGTAGGGACTGTGGTAGTGGGAACGTATCTATTTCATGATTAGGTGTCACTTTTGTAGAAAAGCTTTTCCCATGTGTTTATATTTAAATGGAAATAATATTGTACAGGGTTACACGGCATTTTATCAAGGCTTTCTCAGGAATTATTACTTGTTTATGTAACTGGCTGCGAACTGAAGACCTGTGTGGCTGAATATTGGTTTCAAGTATTGAGGCCGTGAGCTTTTTATTTCTGCTATATAAAAATAAATGAAAATGTTAAGTTCTGGAGAGAGGATTCAGACCTCTTATTTTCAATTAGTTACTGCCCTTCTACTCTGGACTGGTTAATGAGATTATGGGGGAGGGGGGGAAAAATACAGTGGCACAAGAAAAGCATTCACCATCTCCTAGACTTTTTGGGATTGTATTGTGTTTAGTAATTTCTCCCTATGGCTTTTCCTCTTCAGTCATTAGTGTATTGTCATAGGAGCCAAGTTAATATCACATAGCAACAGACCAGTGCCATGTTCAGAACAACCAGGGCTAAGTCCTCGGTTGCTGCTTTATGTCCTTTGAGCTATCTGCCCACAGCTGACCCGAGTGATCACAGGGCCTGAGAGGCACTCAGAAAGCTGTGAAATTGGTGGAGATTTGCTCCAAAGCTGATTTACATCTACGTTTATGCGTAGAAGCAGAAGAGCGAGGGAACTTCCATGGAGCCATTCTTACCATGTTATGCACCCCTTGGATCTAACACATTGCAAATAATAGTTCTTGCAGTGCACTGGCATACCGTGTCTGATTCTCACCCCTTGTTGTTTATGACTTTTTACTCTTTAAATTTAAAAAAATTTTTTAAAGTCTTTAAGATGAAAAAAAAAAATCCTAAGCAAAGTTACTGTCAGAGGTTCAATTTTGTTTCCCGTGCACAGTTAAATTTACTTCCTAACATACATTTTGTTAGCTAAATATCACAAGTACTTTTCACCAAGTTTGCAGCCCATGTCCCTCTAATACGCTGACCGCAATCGTTTGAGTTATATCCAGCATCTACTGCAAGTCCACTGCACTTGCAGATTATGAAGCTCTCTTACCCCCTAGTGGAAGTGTTTGTCAGTCATGAGGATTTCATGTAGCCCTTTTGCTCTGCCGAGGTTCAAACTTCCTTGGTAAACATCTTTTTGACATTTCTGTTGTGTTTAAAATATCTCTGCATCTCCCTCTTACTGAGTAGTAGCTTACCTTATTTTCTCCTTATTTTCAGGGACTTGCTTACCAAATTTGTGTTGTCTTGTGTTTTGTTTTTTTTAATCATATTACATCTGACTTTCTAGTTTGGTCTTCCTCTGCAAAAGTCTAGTTGTCAACTTTGTCTAGCCTAAGGCACTACTTAAATATGGTTTCAACACAATTGCTTAGATCGGTTGAAAAGTTTATGTAAGTCGCTCCTCATCTTAGACCCTTACTAAATGTAGGGATATCTATTTTTTGATATATTATTTTTCTAGACATTCTGCATTTCAAACAGTCTCAAGAAGAAATAGATTTACAACTGAGGGAAGCCTGGAATTACTTGACTTGAATTTGGTTTTGATTGCAGTTGCTGCAGATAAATCCTATTCTTACTTATAAAAAACCACAGAGGCACTGAACTTTGGCTGCTTTTCCCTCCTTCGTTATTTAATCAATAATTTCAGCTTCAGGAAATGGAGCATAAATTGGATACAAAATCCATTTATTTAGCAACATTTCAGGAGAAGGGATGACACTTCCAAAGACAAGTTTCATACGCTTTCTGTATCAATGGTAATATAGCAACTGTATTCCTTATGATTATAATAATTTTCACTTCAATGAACCTGAGGTATTAATGCTCTGAAGATTTGTGTGCTTTTTTTATGAAAACCTGGCATGGTCTTGAATGTTCAGTGCAGCAGATAAGGTTGCAAAGACATCTTCTGTGGACATTAGTGTTGTTGATCAAGTTTAGATGACTCTCCTGCTGGAAATGTCTCAAGTATGCCTTGAGTTTAATCCTTTTGGGTCAATGATTTAGTCCCTGACTGTGCAAGCAAACATATTAGAATCATAAAATGATTTGGTTGAAAGGGACCTTAAAGACCATCTAGTTCCAACTCCCCTGCCGTGGACAGGGACACCTTCCACCAGACCAGGTTGCTCAAAGCCCCATCCAACCTGGCCTTGAACACTTCCAGGGATGGGGAAGCCACAGCCTGTGCCACTGCCTCACCACCCTCACAGGGAAGAATTTCTCCCTTGCATCTAATCTAAATCTTCCCTCTTCCAGTTTAAAGCCATTACCCCTTGTCCTATCGCTCCGCGCCCTTGTAAAAATCCCTCCCCAGCTTTCTTGTCAGCCCCTTTAGGTACTGGAAGGCTGCTGTGAGGTCTCCCCAGAGCCTTCTCTTCTCCGGGCTGAACAACCCCAACTCTCTCAGCCTGTCTTCATAGGAGAAGTGCTCCAGCCCTCGGATCATCTCTGTGGCCTCCTCTGGACTCGCTCCAACAGGTCCATGTCCTTCTGGTGCTGAGGACCCCACAGCTGAAGACAGTACTGCAGGGGGGTCTCACCAGAGCGGAGCAGAGGGGCAGAATCCCCTCCCTCGACCTGCTGGTCACCCTGCTTGGGATGCAGCCCAGGACACGGTTGGCTTTCTGGGCTACCAGTGCACATTGCTGGGTCATGTTGAGCTTTACATTATACTTCTCAAAAATTAATATTATTTAGTCTATAATTGTCTTTTTGTTCTCAGTTTCCTTATTGGGTGACTTTCATAGTGCTCATTAGTCTTATTAAAAAACTTCCTTGTGGTTTGCAGCTCAAACAAGGTATGTAGTTGTTATTGTGCCAGCATTGTTCCCTGCTTTTTTTTTCTGCTTTGCCACCCATTTGCTTATAAACTGGATTAATTTTCCTTTGAAACGTCGTGGCAAAATTGGAGGTCAAAATAGGCAGACTTATGCTGACGAGGGCTCCAAAGGCTCTGCCTCTTGCTTTTCTGTAAAACCACAAGCAAGGATTTTGTCGACAGAACTCTGAATTATCTGAATATATTTCAGTTTCTACTTAAGTTATGGCTGGAATTAAGTGTTTGTTTTTTTGGTTTTTTTTGTTTTTTTTTTAAAGAAATGTTTGGGGTTTTTGACTTTGCTAAACATTTTGGTACCGGCTTAAGCTGTAGAAAGCCAAATTTTACTCAGAATTTTTTAATTGGTGTTTGTTACTTTCCAGGCCTACCAAATGAGAAAAATGAAATATGAGACTGAGACCTATTACAGAATGGGCTTGCAAAATACCATTTTGAGTGTTCTTAAATGGCAATATTAAATGGTTTATTAGTGTAGGTCTTGTTTTCTAGGCCGTGTGTGCAGTTCACAGTTAATTGCAGGGAAGAATTTGCAAGATACAAGAGTTCTGAGAATTTTTCATGCCAAAATCTTGAGCGAAGGCCAGGAACCTTTACCAGCCTTTGTAAACTGACCCAGAAAGAGAAATGAGACAAACAGGATCTGTAAACAAAAATCACGTGCCCTTCACAAATACATTTTGGAAGGATGGTTGCCTAGGGAAACAGGAAATGGGGAATTACACAACAAACAAAAAGGACTGCCAAACAAATTTGCTGACCTTTTTTCAGGGAATTATGATGAAAACTGCTGGAATCCTCAGTATTTCACCATATTTCTAAATCTGAAGGTGGAACAGAACAATAGCTTGCTAATTATGCCGCAACTATTTAGAAAATACAAAAAACTTCCTTGACATCTTTGTCCTAAGGGAAGCAATGCAAGGTTGTGAGCTATGTAATCCTGAGTTCATCTTGAATTTTTTTTTTAGTTTCTCAGCCTTTGCCATTAAACTTCTTAGAATCAATGCTTCCTTTTATGGATGCCGTAATAACAAAATCACTCTATTCGTATCTGCAAGTGTCATCTAGCTCTGTCTTTAGGCATTTTAATCCTAATTTCTGAGCTGGTAGTCTCCCAGATAGCCCTGTCCATACCGTTCCATAGGAAACAGCAGCTCTCCTAATGGTTTTTGTGCTTCCAGGAGTCACAAATAGGAAAGGAAGAAGAGAATTTGTATTGGACTTGTCCTTAGCAGGGAAGAAGTCAGCCTCTGGATGATGTTTCTTCCTGTCCTCCCTCTCACCCTGCTTTGGAGGACATGTGCAAGAAGCAAATGGTTTGCTTGGTGACTTCATATGCCTCCTATTTTGAGATGTGCCCTTTCAGTTTTAAGTTGTGGGAAATAATGAGATCGCTATGGAGGAGAGGTCATAGAAGACACCAGCCTGGGATCACTCAATCTGTTGGGCTTGGTTTTATACGAAAGATGGAGAAGTAAAAGCAATTAAAAAGAAGAAAATGGGGAAAGTAGGTAGTGATGTTAAACTTAAGATGCTCTTTATCCCGGAACACTGAAGGAGTAGTTATGTGAAACTTCATGATTGTACCATGGATATTAGAAAATCTGCTGAATTGCAGGGAGAGGGAAATGCATTTGTCTGATGCTTGGATCCATTCCTGTATCCTCGGTTGTTTTCAGTGTGTAACTTTTTTTTTTTTGTCAGTTCCAATGACAGGTTTCACTCAAAGGGCTACCATTGATCCAGAACTGAATGAAATCCATGTCTTATCAGGGCTCAGTAAAGACAAGGAGAAGCGGGAAGAGAATGTAAGGAATTCCTTCTGGATTTATGACATTGTGAGGAACAGCTGGTAAGTCGATGGAAGGAGTGCTATTTCTAACACCTACACTGACTTTCTTTAGAAAGTAATTCTGTCTCCCAGGTAACTCTGTAACCTCTTATAACCATGGAATGGTTATGTTGAAGACAACTGAGTTCCCTTGAGGCATCTCTTTTTCCCCATAGTCTTTAGAGACACCATGGCAATAAGCCAAATGAGGGAGAGAAATCATGCAAACTTCTTTATTGGAGGCAGGTGGAGGGGATGAGAGGAAGTAAGCCATTATACAAAGTTTTTCCTGTAGGAAATGTTCAGGGCCAGGATTCATCAGTGCAGCAAATTCAGTCAAATGTAAGTTTTTAATAGCAGTGTAATACCAGTACCTGGTACTAGTTATTAGAAACTGAGGAACCTGGTCTGCTATATGAATGGTGATGGAGAAGTCTTCATGCTAGATCTATCAGCTCTTTCCAGGCTGCATGCAGTGGTACTTTAGGTAGCTGCTAGATCCAGTATTCTGAGAAAGTATCTCCTTGTCTATTTTTTCTATTTGCTGTATTGTATTCAGTAGCTGGTTGCCACTGTCCCTTTCCAGGGCTGGCAGTGTTTTTGCATTCAAGGTCTCTTCTAATGTGGGGCCAATTACTTTGAAAGGTATGAATGTTGTTTTTTTGGTTTTGTTTTTGTTTTCTTTTTTAAGAAGAACTTTTAGTTACAACATAAATCTGCTTGGAAATCAGGGATTGAAATACTAGGTCTGCTATAGTCTGTGGCCTGTAGCTTTACTGTGTCCAAGATGGAATTCTCCATAATGAAAAATACTTCATGCTGACAATTCTGCTAGCAAATAATGCAACATCTAAAGATATATCCAAAGCTCATGACATAAAATTTTCTAGAATTTTTTCCTGTTTGGCTTGTGATTGAGGACTGTGTTCAGCCAAGGTGACCTTCTCGGATTGTTGGATGGGTTTCTTTGTGCAGCTAAGAGTGGAGATGGGATAATAGAGGACAATATGTAGAGAAATAAGAACATTTTTGGTGTTACATGCCAAGCAGTTCAAATTGACCTCATTTGTACTTTATAGCCTTTCAGTAACTTCTACTTCCTGTAGATACGACTAATCATTACTTACTACCTTGTGTTTCAGGTCTTGTGTCTATAAGAATGACCAAGCAGCAAAAGAAAATCCGGGTAAAAGCCTTCAGGAAGAGGAACCCTGCCCAAGGTTTGCCCATCAGCTGGTGTATGACGAGTTGCACAAGGTATGAGAGTCCAGATACACATACGGTGATTCTTTTAGTCTTACTGCTTTTAAGGTGTAGTTGCTTCTTCAAAGATGGTACAATGAATATAGCTTTTTGCATAGTGTTAATGTTTGGGTTAATGTGGTGGGTAACTTTCATTTAACTTCAGCACTTTGTTTCAAAAGATGTTACTAAGATACTTTTTAAGTCAATGTGAAGTAGACATGAGAGCTCCTAGATGAAATCAAAATGCACAATGGGTTATACTAAATCTCTACAGAGTTGTCAAGCGGATAGCTCCTAGCTGTTCTCACACTTGAGAACACTTGAAGCTTCATTCGTTATCGTCAGGGACTTAATCTCACAACCTGTTAGTGACTAAATGGTCACAGATAGTTACCAACATTTCTAGGAGAAATGTGTTTGAATGAACTAATCAATGTTAAGAATCTGCCGTAACGAAGGTGCCTTACTTTGCCCTGCATGTCAGAAGCAACTGTCATTCTTAAGCACTGTCTGACTTTAATGGACATGTTCATGCTTAAATGGACTTAAAATTGTTTGTAGTGTACATGACTGTTCAGTAAACTTAGGGCTTTTTGCATACTAACCAGTAAAGCACAAACCCACAGATTAGGTTACCATAACTTCATTAACCTATGAATTTAAATTACTGTGACACACTTCCGTAGCCTTTCACGGATATTTTGCAATTAAAATTTTTCTAAAATTTCTTTTTAGTCTGAAACAGTCTGAACTGAAAAAGACAAATATACTTTAGTCTTATCATTCCATGGGATGTTAATCAAATTTGGGAAACCCAAATATCCCAAAAGTTTGGGGATAAAGGGAATTTTTGAAAAGGAATAGGTGCAACTTTTGTATGGAGAACTTGTATTGCTTGTCGTCTTCATGGACCTTAATGATAGACTGTAAATACTGTACTGCCTTTAATGGCTTGCTTCTAAGTGTAAGGTACCATGAGATTGAGAGTAGTATTTTATAAGTTATTGTGAACATTGCTAAATCATGGCAGTTGCCCAGATTTATTTGAAGAGATATTTGATGTGCTTGTTTTGAAGAGTCTTATTTTTAGAAACCTCTGTTCAACTGACCTTTCTAAACTCTTCTGATATAAATAAGGAGAGCCTACATCAGTGGGATGCAGAATACATTGTTTTGAGTGATTATTTTTAAAGCTGTGGAGAAAGGTAGCCCGTTGGACTTCCTGAACCTCAGTATTTGAAGACCTTTTGTGGCATATTTAGTATCAACAGTTCAGAGTCTGAAATAACAAATGATGTGAAGAAAAAAAAAGAAGTGAAGAAATAAACAGTCTTTTTTTAACACTTCCACTTTTCTTGAGAATTGCCTCTCTGTAAGACCAGCCTTGCATTTCAAAGGTGTTGTATCCTGAAACTATAAGAATGGCTGGTAGACTACTTTATTTGAGCTACTGTGACCAAAAAATGAATTTTGCATACAGGTATATTTAATATTTCCATGATTGGTGTCTCAGGATTGCTAGAACCTTTTTTGAAGACAATCACAGTAATGGTTATGACTTCTGATTCTAGATAAGATTGGTGTTTTCTTCCTCAGTTCTTAACATTACAGTTTGGGCTTTTTGTTTTACTCTTTATTCAGTTAGCTCTTTCCTTTGTGCCCAGATGTATATTGAGTGTCTTGCAGCTAGGCTGCTGTATTGAGGTGAGACAAATCTGCCCTTCTGGAGACCATGGAAATATTTTTCTCTGCAAGTCAAATAAAACCTGTGTAGAGTTTATGGGACATGTAGGGACCCAGGCCTTTTGATCATCTCTCAAGATTATGCTGAACTGGGCTTGTTTTGGCTTTACTTTTGAGCATCTTTAGGACTTCTCACTCACTTTGCCAGTGGCCCTTGTCTTTAAGGAAGATAATGGTCTTCGCTGACTCAAGGAAAAGGCTGCTTGTCTGAACTGTGGTGCTTTAGTAGTGCAACTTCACCCACAGTGCTCTGACTGGAGCCAGGGCATTAGTCTACCAAGTCCATTTTTTTCTGAGTCTTCCTAACAAGCACAAATGTTTCTTCTTCAAAGAAAATGTGTGATTGCTGGAGTCATCTCACAATTTTATGGGTGTACACTGCTCATCCCCAGATTAGAGAAAGGCTTAATGCAGGTTCCCGAATTTGTTCTCTGTCATGATGACAAGAATTTGGAGTCTTTGAGGACAAGATTGAAAGAGATGTTAGTAATTGATCAATTTGAGTATTGTTTGCATCAAGTATTTTGAACAGGGCAAAAAGAGTTGGCTTAGATCCTTCTTTTCTGCTCATATCTTACATGCTTAAGGATTTACCATGCTCATAGGTTTGTCGTAAAGAAAGAGATTGCGTGGTTTGTGGATGTTTGTTTATAAATATCTCAGGAGAATCTGCTAGAGGGAGGTTCTAATAGTGCAGCTTTTTTTATCTTAAAATGTAAGCAGTTTAAAGAACTTTCTTCATCTCCTAGGGGACAAAGTAAGGCTAATAATAAGATGGAGCAGCTTGTCTAAAAGGCAGAGTTTTCTCCCTCCAGAATAAACTTCTCCAAAGATGCTGACAAAGTAAATAGTCTTTGTTTAATGGATGTACACAAACAATCAACTTTTTCATCTGCCTCTCATTTGCTCAGGTTCATTACTTATTTGGAGGGAATCCTGGTAAGTCCTGCTCTCCAAAGATGAGATTAGATGATTTCTGGTCTCTGAAGCTCTGTCGACCCTCAAAGGAATACCTACTAAGACACTGCAAATACCTCATAAGAAAGCACAGGTACAGAAACAAAAGCTGTTTTGCAATTTTCTTTTCCAAAGTGTCATCTTTTTTTTTCTTTGCTAAAACTTGAATATCTTGTAAACTGTTTTGGGAAATATCACTTCGTTGGTTGTATGATAGTCTACAGGTTTCTTGATTATTGTTAATTGTTTAAAAATTATTTTGATAATAAGTAGTAGTGGGGCAGGGCTAAACTACAAAATTAACTTCATTCTGGTTTTACGAAATTATTCTAAAACTAGAAAAATCTGGCTATTGTGTGGGGAGTCGTGGGAAATTTTTAGATTCCCTTTTCACTCTACTGCTCATCGACATGTGTTTTGGTGCTGTCACCTCCCAAGGAAATGGAGTATGTTTCTGAAACACTGTGCTAGGAGATAGTAACAGCTCACAAGGATGCTAATGAAGTCTGGGGGCTGGATGCCTTTGCACATCTGAGACTCAACTGTGGTGAGGTCAGGGATTCTCATTGAGAATCGCTTGAAAGATCTCACTTAGGCAGAATTCAGCTACACTGTGATGCTTCTTGCACTCTGGATGTTTCAGAGCTGCCTTATATTTGCTATTTAGGGCAACAGCTTTTCAAAATCAAGCTTATGGTATTGCCTTAGGCAAGAAATTGCAGCAGTGAGACAGCCTTTCAAGACCCAGCAAATTATTTGAAGCCAATAAATAGCTCTTTCTGAATTCTTGGTGAGAATACTTTGTTATCAGGTTCTGCCAAGAGTTGGAGGTCGGTTTTTACTGGTGGTATTTTACTTCTGAGGCAGCAAGCAAATTGCTATACTCAACTCAAAATCACTATGGCTAGATGAGGCCTTTTGCAGATCAACCACTCAATAGATGTGAATACCTACAAAAATGAATAAAGGTCTTGCCCAGTAATCTGGGAGGCTTATTAAACCCACATGTGGTTGGATGCAAATGCAGCTGTACAGCCTCCAGAGACAGCTCTGGACTGCTTGTTTTTTACTTGCTTAAATTGCACTGAAAGAAAATGTTGATGCATATTGTCTGTCAGAAGCTTGGGGTTTATGCACCCTGCTCCTGTTTATTGGGGTCCATGTGAGGGAGCCAAACACGACCGGCCAGGGACTGGTACGATGGGTGCTTTGCTGGAGTTCACGTGCTTCTCAGGGCTGGAGCTGAACTGCTGTGGAGTCGCTTGGCTGCCCATTATCTGCATTTCCTCAAGCTCTAGGTACCAGAACAGGTACTTGGCTTGCAGACACAGCAAATCCACTGCATCGGCTGGAGTCTTGTTTGGTACTCAACAAGTCAATAGACCAGTCAGCTGTAGAGGAGCCAAGCTGGCCAGGCGTAGAAGAGAAAGGTGTCAATGGTTCCACTTATTTAAGGTATTTCAGCTCTCTGGACCATGGCGGTATCACCTAAGAAAATCTATGTGAAGGCAAGAAATCATGCTTAATTACCAAAATGTCATGTGCATCAGGTAACAGACATAGTCTTTGTGCTCCATGCCCTGGCTAAATGACTTGCATCTTTAGACAGTTTCAAAATTTGGTCAACAGGTGTCCACTATGGTATAAATAGCCAAGTAGATGTCCCAAATGAAAAATAGCGATAAAATTAGATCTATTCAGTGTGACTTCTTTCAGTTTGACAAGCTGTATGCTGCTAAAGGTAACTGAAATATATTATGAATAAAGTATCTTGCATTCCTGTAAGGCAGTTGATACAAGGCAGTTAAGTAACTGAGAAGGTATTTTTTAGGGTCCTTGTCTCTGGAATCCAGAATTGTCTGAGCTGGTTTCCTGGGAAGGCTTAATGCTGTGTATAGGTGATTCAGAAGATGACAAACATAATGCGGTACTGCACTTGACGGATACGTGATAGGAGAAAAAGACAGATAATTTTAAACCTCATTCTTTCTAGGCTTATGCACCCAGCTCAGTGCTGCAAGGAAGTAGCTCTGCTCACTGAGGATGCTGAGCCCAGAATAATTTTCTGAGGGCTATATTAACTTCCTCAGGGAATTCACAGAAGTTACGTTTTCTGTTTGTTGAAAGAAAATGAGAAAATAATGGTGACGGTGCACAGGTTTTTTACGTACATGTGCTGTTTCCAAGGGTGTGGGGTATTAAGGTGCAGTATTCATTGAATCTGGGGGTTTTCAACCCCATCGTCCCTTTTTCTGTTGTCTGGCAGAAGTGGGGAGCATTCTCCATCCCTGTACTTTCAGTTAGGCTTCTGCGCAGTCGGGAATGTGAATATCCGTGGGACTGAAGTGCTCAAGGTTTTCCTGTGTCTGAACTGTGCTCCTCACCTGAGGTGCTACTCATGCCTTTCTTTGTGGAAAACAAACTGTACTAAATGTTTTGTATTTCTGTATTAGGAAGTGGCTGTACATATGCTTTTGAATCTTTTTAGTAAAAGTGTAATACTTTGCCCTTATAACTCCCTTACACCCCTAAAACCCCCTCCTCTCTGTTTTAGTCTGGCTTGAAAGCGCGTACTCCAGCAAATACAAGGCCAAGCTGCCGTTAACATTTTGTTTGGAAATATTGGGCTGAAGGTTTTGTTAGACAGGTTTTGCTCTTTGTAGAAATAGTAGTAGTTAGTCCTGAAGGAAATGGCTGTGCTCAGGTTTTCTGTCTCTCCTTTGCAGATTTGAAGAAAAAGCTCAGACTGACCCTCTTAGTGCACTGAAGTACCTGCAGAATGATTTGTATGTAACTGTGGATCACTCGGACCCCGAGGAGACAAAAGAGGTGATGATGAATGATCTTTGTCTTAGTTATAAAGAAATGTAAACTATGTTCTCGTGTGAGCCTCTTAAACCTTGTTTTTATTCAGTTTGAAAAAGCTCTACAGGTGCATGACACTTTGCTGTATCGTGAATTTCTCCACACTAAAGATTATACTGCTTTAGAAACAGTCATTTTACAACTGCAGTTCCAGATAAAATAACTTTTGTACTCATAATAGTGAAGACTAGGCCTTTGTTTTAATTCCAACATACTGGTGTGTATTTTGGGAGCTTTAATTGGAATGTAAACTCGCTGAAATGTCACGAGTCTGTAGTTGGTTGTGCGGTCGAAAGTGAATAGAAACTTATTCATGCTGCCTTTTGGCTTGTTGATATTAAATAGCTCTGGGGCAGGGGAAGAGGTTTTTCTCTAGATGATAAATATATCTGGAAGTAGATTGTATATATACATTGCATGCTAACCTTAAAATCTTATTTCCTCTGCCTTTTGAATATTATCCAGTAGGCATGCTCTTTTACTTGTTCCAGGAATTTGTTCCAATTTCCTGTTTTATTCCATTATTGCAGTACGTGTCACTTTACAAAAAGGATTAAAGAAATAGGGAAAAGCGTCAGATAAGGTGGTTGATTTGACTCTGCCATTAATTTCCACGTGGAACTTGAGGCAGCCAGCTAGATGTACAAGCGTTCAGCTCCTGACAGGTAGATGAGGAAGAGGAGACCATGGTTCTTACTCTCTTCTTGTGTTAATGACTTTGGAAGTGATTCGGCAGCTCCTTTTATAAAATTGCGATGGGAGAATGGACGATGTTACTCCATGCTGAGTCTCTGGATTAAATCACTTAATCTGATGATTTTAAGTTGTTACTTTAGATGAAGAAAAGATCATTATACAGACACTAAAAGCTTTTGGGGGAGATTATGCTTCTTGCGTATGCACAGTATAGAATTGTAGGGTTAGAAGAATTAAGAAAAAAATATTTGCTCATATCAGGATCTTGGAACCGATCACATTTGTCATAAATTCTGGTTAGCCTTTGTAAACATCTCATCCAATAGGACATTTAAGTGCTGTGCCTGTAAGTTCTTTGTTAGATGGTTTCTCATTTAAATTGTCCCATATCAAGTAGTTTCACATCTTTTCTAGCAATTTCTAGCATAGGGAATACAAATAACAGATAATCCTACTTTTCTTCGGGTAAAAAAGGAGATTTTTATTTTTTCTTTTCCCCATGCAGCGTGCTTCAAGGGGGTGCAGCCCAATTATGCCCTGTCTTCTCAGCATGGTAGCACTTTCCTCTTCCGATTTTGAACCTGTAATCACCTATAACATACGGCAACCATGCGGATGCACTCTTCTCCCCTTCTTCTCCCTCCCACCCACTATAAGACCATGTCCTGTGCTCTCTGATCTCCCATGTCATACCTGTTTGCTGGTAGGCCCATCGTGCCTGTGAAGGCCATGTCTCTCTTTGACCAGTTATTCCTAAAGAGATCTTACATCTCATGGCTGGCTGTGCCTTTTTATTGCCTGAACAGAAAACATTTGTGGCGTGATCAGCAAGCTCCTCTGCTTTTAGTTCGTGCTGCCTGCTGTTACCAGCAGACCAAAGGAACTCTCATAAAGGGTGCACATTGTGCACATCTGGCATAGGAAATCCTTTAATATTTTACATTTGATTTTCCCAATTCAGTGTGTAGTATGTAGCTTGTCCAACTTGTAAGAATGAAGAATTTACCTGACTGCATGGGCTCCTCTGAGATTTTGGGGAAAAGTAGTAGTTTTATCATACAAAGTATAAATAGAACAAAATGTTTAAAAAAAAATAATTATAGAGTGGACTAGTGTTCTGCACATTAATGATCTGGCATATGAGCTTAGGTAGCTCAATCCAGCTGAGTGAATACATTGTGAATCCTTTCTCTGCAGGCCTAATGCCTGATCTGAACAAAATTCAATAGCTTCTGTCTGTCGTGCTGGTCCGTCGGATCAACGCATACCATTCAGCAGAATTAAAGCTTCCATTCCAGTGGTCTCCTAAAATGATTTAACAATTTCTAGGAGGCTTTTTTGTTTGAGTTTTGGTTTTGTTTGTTTGTTTGTTTGTTTTTAAATTATGCTGGTCAAAAAGCTTTAACTTCAAAGCTTTTTACACTGGAACAGATCTGCCAGGGATGTGGCATAGAGCCAGCTCCTGCACTGGTACTGACTGGGTGTATTTCCAGTTGACGTCAATTTACCTTCCGGTTATCACATTGAGTTGGCTTTTTGCTCTGGCATTACATCTTCAAATAGCTCTTGTGCTTTCCAAAGGACTGACGCAGGCTTTTTGGATTCCATATCAAATTTCAAGCACCAATTTGACTGTGTATCTCGGCCCAGACACCTATATACTCTGTCTTTATTTGTAGTTGAGATCGTCTTAAATATCAAAGGCTATATATCTGATCAGCTTGCTCTGTGCTGGCTACAGCCATTGAATGTTGTAAGGCTTCTTAGTGTGGCAAATCTTAAGGGAATCGGTTTCTGCCTGTTGTTTTCCATCTCTCTAGGGTAACTGTTAAAGTTGGGAAGGACCAAGCAGAATAAGTTTATCCCCAACTTAGTGCTATAGTTCTCTTGGACACTGATCTGTATGGTTTCATATTTTATGGATTGAGATATGGGCAGTGTTATATAATATTACAAGTGGAATTTCACTTGGAGGTAAGGCTTACTTGCTTTATAATAGAAGTAATTTCTTCTAACTTAGTTAGGCAAGCCTCTTCAGCTGTTTTGAGTTGGATGCCAAAGAAAATAAACAGACTGTTCTTGAAACTTACTTTGGCGTTAGTAACCAATTTTGTTTAAAGTAGCATGAATGATTGATAGTAGGAACATGCCCCCCCAGATTTTCATTCTTTTGTTGTGAATTTTAGGGATGTTAATAGGATTATAGTTTTATCTCCTCCTTTATTACTCTAAAGTGAAGTAAATGTCTGCAAGTAACAGGTATTGCATGGGTGCTTGTTTTAGTAGCCACAGGCTATATGCCAGCTCTGCCTCTGCTGTTGCCCACAGATACAGATCCAGTTCTCTTGAACTGTGATTTTGCTTGAAATCACTTAAACCTCTTCAGTTAGTTCAGTGTTTTCCGATCAGTGAATTTATTTTTTTTACTGGCTGTGGATTAATAGCTCTGACGCTGTATGTAAAGGAGGGTAGATCCCCAGAGCACATGGAAGTTTGCGTATTCTTGTTCATGGAGAGATTAAAATTACATAAAAGACTCATTTGTTGGTGTAAAAATTTCTGTTGTGATGGGTGATGCCCTATTTCGTATACACACAGATGTGCATTTGGTGGTAGTTTAAGCTAGAGACTTTTAAAGATAAAAGGATGGTCAAAATAGAAAATCAAAATGAATTCCAAGGTTTGTACTTATGTCAAGGATAAAATAGGTGCTATTAAAGCACAAAAAATCAGTAGATCACGTGCAAAGCTAAAGGTGTTACACTGGAGTAATTGTACCCAGAACATTGCTGTTGCTTAGTGGACTATAGAAGAAATGAAGATGATACAAAAAATGGCCAGTGCTGTCCAAGTAAAGGAGGGTATGACGATTTTGTACATTGAGATTGAGGTTCAACTCCTGGAGAAGCTCAATCCCATGATTGCTGTAAAGCAGAGACAAAGTGCAAATAAAACTTGCAGTATGTTTTTCTTGGAGCATGGTAGGAGAAAGAACAAGGACCTGGAGGCCAATTTGAGGCCTGACTAGCTTGTAGACTGAGGCTGGAGGCCCCTGTTCAAGGCTGCTTCATACTTTCCATTCTTAAGACCTTGTCTGTAATAAATTTGCCAGATAAAGCCAGCGGGGCCCAAAAGTATTGTTTGAGTCTGCGTTAGACTGGTATTTCTGGGAAAATTGAAGCCCAAATGGGAAAAATAGTTCTAGGAAAAAGCTAAGAAAAGCATGCTTCTCTTCTTCGTGTCCTGCTGTGATTCTTTGTAAAGCCTCAGAGTCCGAGTTCTGCAGGAGCAGAGGCTTTGGAGCCAAGGAGCCTTTACAAAAACAGCGTTCAGCCTTCCCAACTTCAGCTAGTGACAGCTCCGTCCTCAAAGAATTTCAGCCTCTCTTTGCTTCTTTGAGCCTACGCTACGAGGCACCATCCCAACAGAACTGGTCAAAGCTGAGAAACTGTTTTACGCTGTGATCTGAGCACTTGCCACACAGACATTATGGAGGAGGAATTTTGTCTGATTCGTACAACCTGCCGGGTATCCCAAACAGGAGTTACTCATTCCCCATTAGTGTTAACCATTTCATTTGCGCAAAAGGCAGAGGCGTACAGCAAATATACTAAAACTTACATGGGTTGCTACCTGGCAGAATTGCTTTTTTACTGTAAGTAGAAACCTGGATAAAGTACATGTAACTGATAAAAGAACAGTAATGTGGAAACATGAAGGTCGTAAGTTGGAAAATGCCAGAATTAATAATTACCCATGTAGTCTCAATCTGGCCTCTCTGTGGTTGATTTTATTGGTTAACCTTATATTAGTTAGCCAGATATGTATAGCTAATGCACCAGATGTATAACTAGTATAGCCTTATGTTGGTTAACCAGATATATTTATATCTAAGGAACCCCGGCCTCAGTTCAGAAGGTGGGTTGGATCTCTGAGAGAGAAGTTAATTGTATAACGAAGGGAACTGTTGTATTTTGAATGGAGGCTTAATTTGGAATGGATGAAGCCAGTGAGCCAGAGGGATTGTCAGAAGAAAATGGGTGGTGTTGTGATTAAAGCAGTTGGATGCTTCTGCTGGATAATTGAATTTGGTCTTACCTCTAACAGAGTTGCTATGTGACGTTAAGCAAATCGTTTTTCCTAGATGGTCATTAATTGAGTCTTTTATTCTGGTGCCTGGTGGGAGAGATCTGAGGTATGACTTGCTTTTGAGGGCTTTGCTCTTCTGGCTGCAAGTGAATTCAGAAGCTGTTGCATAATAGTATGTATTTCAAAAAATCAGGTTCTGATAGTTTCAAATAGGGGACCCAAAATTAATCAGAATTTGAAGTGCTGTCTGTTATGATAATAATTAATATGATGGAAAAACTGATGAAGGAATGAATTCCTTCTTTAGAGCAGAGTTTGAACTTCATGAAGAAAATACTGCATTGGGTATATACTGTGAACAGTGTGTGGGAGACCTGGTCTTGAGTCAGCAGTAACTGTCTTATGCGTTGGGGAAAAAGTAGGGGTCCTTTGGGAGAACATCATACGGATAGCTGACTTGGTAATGCAATGCAGACTGAACCAGCTTAGGCTCAGTGCTGTCCGTAACTCACATTCCTAACTTACATGCTTGACTTTTCTATCGGAAAGTGCTTTTTATATGTGAGATGATACATAAAATATAATTTTAAAACAAACAAACAACAACTCTCAAGGTTAATTGAAGTGCAGTGTCATCAGCAAAGAAGGAGACAAGATACTCCTTCCCCACAAAGCCGGAAAGAAACTTGTAGCCGTGAAATCCATCATGCCTAGTGCAGATGAGGCTGGAATATTTGGTAGGGGGTCTTCTCAATGGATTTTTGGTCTCAGTTCAGCGAGTTACTAGCTGGATTCTGCTTGTATGGTCTCTTAGTTGGGCATCCTGAGACCCAGCCTCAAGCACGGCTTGCTCTCTGTTTACTGCAGGATGGCTGCTGCCCCTCGAAGCATGTGGCGTCCGCTTTGTCCTGGTATAGCCGGCTTCATGTGCTACCAGGCAGTTGGCGGCAGGCCCATAAGGCAATTGTGTAGGAGGGAAAGATGGCCAGAACATGGCATTTGGTATCAGAATCAGCACAGATTTAGCCACCGGTTTTATTGCAATTTTTGGAGCTATTTATGCCGGGCATCTGTTGAAGTATATTGCTGATTCGGAGCCAAGCCACTCTTACAAGTTATGCTAGCAGTGAAATACACGTGGAGCATCGCGATCCCTTTTGATGTCATATAACCACACTTCACACTCAAGAGGGTACTTAATCAACCTCTTCCCCCTGTTCTGCGGTTTGTCAATCCTGTATCTTCCTAACCTGTTCTTAAATACCTTGAGTGCCAGCTTCATGTGACAGCCTCCCCAAAAGATGCAAACTTACTGTGGCGGACTATGGTCCTTATTTTAGACTTTTTTTTTTCTTGATGTCATGTTGAAACTGATCTTGCTGAAGTGTTTTTGTGGTTTCTTGCACTTAGTTGTAGATTTACCTTTATTGTAGTGGCCTTCTACATTTGTGACTTTTTGCAGTTTCATCCTTGGACATTCTTCTGTGGAGGCTCTGCAACCCTGACTCCTTTGAACATTCTTTATAGAGCTTGATTTTCAGACCACTTCATTATTTTTTTTTCTAGTGCTTGCCTCATATGTTGCCAATTGATACAGGGCATCCAACAGTGGTTGCCTTATTGTATATGAGACTTACGAGCCTTGATAACAGCAGGAGTACTTGATTTATTTGAAGATCCTACTCCTTTTCATGCATTTTCTACACACTTGTCATTTTTGCAATAGGATGATACTGATCTATTAGAATTCCTGAATGCGTTTTCATAAAGCCTATGTACCCAACCTGATTTGTATAGCTGATTATTCCTGTTTATTTTGATATGCACTTGCCCCTAATGAATTGCACCTTGATCCATCATTATAAACTGGATGAAATGGAAAAACAGCCTGAAGCCTGTCTGCTGCCATGCTGGCAGTCTGTCTGAGCGTAGTGTAAGGTCTGTGGACTCGGTGAACGTGTCCTGTTCTGTCAAGCAGGTTATCACTGAAAACCCGCAATGATGCTGACCCTGGGGCACAGATGAATCACTTCTGATTCATGGCTCCATTTTGATGTCAAACCATTGATGGCTACCCACGGTAAAGTTATTTGACCTATTCACCATTCCCTTTTAGCTTAATCTAGGTGACGCCTCAGTAATTTGCCTTAAATATCATCTAAAAGCATCAGAAGTCCTATGAAAGTGAAAATGGACAATGTCTATTGCCACATCCCCTTCGTAGGGCCTGCTGCCTTGTTGTAGAAAAAATCAGATTGATGTGATACAACTTCTTGTTGCCAAATCCACGCTGGCAGCTACTCGTCACCTTCGCCGCTCCTAGATGACTGCAAATTCTCTGTGTTCCCATTTTTTCTTGAAATTAAACTGATGGATATGTAATTCCTGGCTGTTCTTCTCAGTCCTTCCCTGAATATACTTGCTTCTCTTCTGGTTTTTTCTCCCCCTTCATTCCTTCAGGCTGTGTGCTGTAAAGACACACAGACAGGAGACAAAAGATTACAAGCCTTTAAAGGGTCCATTAATACTTTGAGGAAACATGACGAAGCACTAAGGTTTGCTACAACGTGGGTAACTGAAAACAGCAGCCAGGGCAGAGGAAGATCCCGTATTCACCATCTATCAGTAAGATTTAAGGGAGAATAAAACCGTGAATGTGTTAATTCAAAATCATGAGTAAAAACGTTTTATGTTTCCAAGCAAAGATTTTTTTTTTTAGTGTTAAAAAGACACCTTAAACTTGCCTTAAACTTCTGATGTGAGCTTCTCTGGCAGTTCAAAAAGGCTGTTGCCATTTAAAGCTTTCTCTGTGTTCAAGACGTTCATGCCGCACTGTAGCTGTTACCCTGTTTTCGTGCCTTCTAATCCTTGCTTGCTGGGGCTGTACCACGTTCATTCCTGGGAATGTTGTTGTGTGGAAGAGGCTCTACCTTATTTCTGCACTGTGATATTTGCCAGAGAGGCAAAAAAGTGTGTATATAAAAAATAAGGTTTTAGGGCTCTCAGTCAAGTACCTTTCAGTGTATCAACACTGCTTTAATTCTAGGAAAAACCATTCAACTTGCTCTGCCAAGGTAACAAATTGTATTGCTCATATGAAAGTGTCTGCTGCCGTTATTCATGTGTATGGCACAGTAGTTCCAAGGATTGTGCAAATTAAAACCAGCAACTCTAAAGCCATTTGGACTACTGTGAATCTTTTGGTTTTTTTCCTGTGCAGTTAATAACACTTTTTTCTCTCTCTCTTTATCCCTTCACATCCTCTTCTGCAGTTTCAGCTTCTTGCCTCAGCATTATTTAAGTCTGGCTCGGATTTCACCACTCTTGGTGAGTATTGTGTATCAGAAGAACTATGCTACCTATGTTCCCTCCGATAATTACTGTTAGTTTTGCCTGGTTTTTATATCAAATGTTATAATTCATGTGAATATTGTAGGACCTTTTCGGTTTGAATATGCAAAGTGCCACTATATAGACATTTGAGAGATTATTTATAACGACCAGTGTCCAGTGCCACGAGCCCATATTTAAAACATCTGTCACCAGTGGTTTTAAACCCATACCTCCTGGGATCATTTTGTGTCTCGTATTACATCTGATGCTTCACTGTTACCCAAATAAACAGAAGTTTTGATCAGAATAAAGCACCTCTTGTCACGTCACTTTGGAATCTCACAGCATGGCTACGGCTCTGTTTGCTGTGATAACTGCAATTCCTGGAGTAGTTTGGTTCGCTCTGTTCTTTGCAAAACTAGTTCTTTGGGCGGAATGTCAAGAGCGAAGAAAACAGTGGCGTGTAGGGCTGGAAACAGGAGGTCTGAGCCAAAGCCATAATTTATTGCACTCTTCTGTCCAGTTAACTCTTTTAAACAGTTAAGAGACTATTAATCCTGGGCAAGCTAGAGGAAGGCTATAGGCGTAACTTCCATTCTTGTAATGACGTGTTGTCCTCAAGTGACCGAGCTCTCGCTAGGAGCATGGATGACTTCAGTTTTTGATGAAGGTGTAATTCCCAACTGAAGGAATTGAGGGAAGAAAAAAGCCCACTGCACTATCTGCCCTGCTGGATGAGGAAGCTCTGCTGAGCTTCTGTGGTTTGGAAGATGTTATCTAGTTGATGCTATAAGATGGGTTTTCTTCCTTTAAAAAAAAAATAATCAAGTTTCAGAAAGGTCTCTTTTCCCTAGTTTTAAGTGTTCTAAAAGATGAATTAGTTCTTGACACAATACAGTACTTTGTTCAGAAGTTGGCTTTACAGATAGGAGGATACATACATCAAGTAGTCCTCCTAAATTGAAACAAAAAATCCAAGTTCTCCTTGATTTGATTAACTTGGTTGACTTTGATTAACTGAAAAGTGACTTCACTGAATTAAAAAGCATTCCTTTGAGATACCAGTGATTGAACTAATACAAACCAGAGGAAGTCGTTGTATGCCTGCTCTATTGTTCTTGCTGTTGATGGTTTAAGTATGGGGATTTGGATAAACAATGCTTCTGCCAGCAGACTAAACCCTCCCTCTTGGGAAGCAGCACTTCACAAAACCAGTTTTCAAAGCATCCTTGTGCCAAGATGCAGCCTGGGTCCTGGGTGCAAGTCCAGTGGTTAAACAGCAACTCTGAATCGAGTCTCCTACCATCAGCAGAGCTCGTCTCAAGAAAAACTGCAAGCAATACAAGTACTAGTTCTGGTTAAGACAGTGGTGAAGATAATGAGGAAAGCCTGAGGACAGAAGAAATGAGGCACCAAATAAAAATAGCTACACAGATTTTGTTTTCTGGGACATCAGAGCAGTCCCTTGAGGACTCTTGCTTCCCTCATTTCTTCAGGACTGTCAATGAGCTTGACAGCTGTTTGCTTATTACTTTTTATGGCATTTTGATTGCAGCGCTGGCTTGGGGTGGCATGATCTCTGTGTGTATATGCACTTAGTAGTGGGATGGAGAGCTGGCAGCCTTCTTAGTTGAAGCAGAAGTAGCAACCAGTTAACATCTGTCCAAAACGGACAACTGGTGTATTCCACAGCTAAACTGAGTGTTTAAAGTAGTGAGGACTGACTTGCTTTCCCTTTTTCTTCCTCCCCCAGGATTTTCAGATGTTGACCACACATACGCGCAGAGAACTCAGCTGTTTGATACACTAGTCAACTTCTTTCCAGACAACATGACCCCTCCTAAAGGCAACCTGGTGGACCTCATCACACTGTGACGGAGCAATCACTGGACATGTGGAAGAGGGGAAAAGCATCCATTTTCAGTATTTTAATTTTTTTACTGCATTGATTGACTGCTGGGATGAAGTAATAAAGTAACCCCTAGGTGTTTGAAAGGGGTTTTATACTTGTATGGTGAATCCCTGAAGCTTTTCCCTTGGAGTAGGTTAATAAAATGTAACTGACGTACTTATGACTAAATATATATATTTTTTCTGACTTTGGATTTTGAGTTAGCAAATGTAAGATGAAAAGGTGGGGGTAGAGGAAGAAAAAACCCCACCACCACACCAACCAACCACCTAATCATGCGGTGATCATTTTTGCCTGTAGGGGAAAACTGAGATTTTTGGGTTGTCTGGAGTTAAAGATGATGGGTTTTATTTCGAGTTTCATGAGAAGACTGGGAGGGGAGGTTGTATTTTGCTCATTTGTAGCTAGTCATGATATATTGCTTTATCCTACAACTCCATCCTCAGCAGCTCAATAACTTGGTGGCAGGACACTGACATGCGTTGAGGTAATAGTAATATATGTGTCTGAGTCTTGTAATTGCAGTGTGTCATGTGAAGGGGAGCGTGTGTTACAAATTACCTGTCTCCTCGTCCCAGAATCGGGCTGACAGTAGTGTCTAATTGCATTTGATAACCGATCTAAACCTGAATTACCTACATGCCTACCTTCTGTTCTCTGAAGCCTTCCACTTAAACCTGACAGGCAAGTGGGAGCCTCAGAGAAACCATTGGAAAACGGGAGTGCAGTCGTCATCTGCACAGGCCCCTTTTCAGGGATTGTTCTGTTTCGCTGCTGTGCTCTTCCAATGAGAAACCGTGCAGGTCCTCCCAGAGCCCGGCAGAACTGGGTCTTCCACCACATGCACACCCAACCTCTGCAACCTGACTCCAGGTTGGGTGTAGGATTTCTAAAGCAGATTGTCTTCGTTTACATGCACCTACGCTTCTGTGTGCGTTTGTCAATGTGTAAATGTAAAGAGGATTCCTCCAAACAGCTTGTCTCCTTCCTATGTAGTGCAGCTCATTCACTTCTAAATGCATTTTAGACCTAGATCTGAATGTGAGGGAGGCCTTTTTAGCATAAATCTCTTTGAAAGCAAGCTGATGCATATGTATAGAAAATATATTCTTCCTTGCTGAAAGCCTTTTTTATAAATAAGGTAAGGGCTTGGTGCTGCACTGTGAAGTGGAATGAAGGATACACATACCCAGCATTAGAAACTTTTTGCATTTGGTGTCAGTGAGCATTCAGTACAAACTGGCAGATGTAAATATTTATATGAGACTGCAAAGCTTTATGTCTAGAAACGTTCGTGCCAGTAGGGTGTCTGATGGAAGTCTTGTGTGTGCAAAGATGATTTGGACTCTTGAAATAAAGAGTTAGTGAAGTGTCTTTTTCAGAGCGCGAGTGTCTGCTTCCTTTGATTGCGTTGTATTGCCTCTTTATCATGTTCTTTGTGTGACTTTTGTAGTCCTGGTACGTTAGAAATAAATTTAAAAACTCATACTAGTGTTTAATCACTTAGGAACAATATGTTAGAGGCTGGGCTTTGCCTTGTCTTCAGGGAGGATGATACAAATACAGTGTTTTTAAGTAACGTGGAACTTGAGACTGTTTAGACATTGTATACTTCGGTGGATGGCAAATCAGATGTCTGTGGAAGAATCCACTCAGTACATAGTGCAGTAAATGAAATCTGATGAAATTGTTTCTTTGAGACGTTGCATTCTTTTTTTCCAGTGACATGGAAAGTTTTACGTCACTGCTAGGCGTTGCGATGTGCTACCTTTGCTGACACTTTGTTAACTACTCAAAGTAGAGCCTATATGGTACGGATGTAGATACCAGCGGTGCTATACTGGGGGAATATTCCAATTGAGGTGTCATTTCCATTGAGATTGAATTGAATATTTGTAATGCAACCAGCCAAAATGCTGCAGCCCTCTAGTACTTAAAATTTTAGTGCTGTTGTGCTCCCTTATCACTTGATCTCATCGCCTGTGTATTCTCCTACTTCAGTCAGATGATTAATTGCTTTTTGTGCCAGTTTTTTAATCAACCACACTCTTCAGAAACTTTTATGCCTATACCTTTGACTATATGTGAGGTTGAACCCATGATACGACTAGACCTAGGAGCCTCAGCAAGCAGACACTAGAAGTTTAGGAATGCCAAAAGCTTTGTGAACGATGTTGCTGGTGAGCATTGTGCCGGGCTTGATTTGTGTCATAGAAATTCAATCAAAACTCATTGCCCTCTGTGTTGGTGGTGCATGCGAAGCCTGACAGCCTGGCTCAGTTTTGTGTAGCATAGTGTAAATTAATGATTTTTCTGAGAGAGGTGAACATTGCTTCTGCAGGACTGACAATCCCAGCTAATGAGAACACTTCAGGATGATCAAATATTGACCTACCTTTATCCTGAGCAGATCGATTTCAGCTCGCACGAATACAGTTTATAGATTACAGCTGGTGATTAACCAGCAGAAACTATTTGCTCAGCTTTAGAGTATTTGTTGAGCAGCAGAGGCACCCTGTGGCCAGGGAGGTTAATCCAAAGTGAAGGTTTCTTGTGGCTTTGCCAAGGGTCTTTCCTGGTTCTGTGTCCTTAAAGCTGTGAGCCAAAATTAAATTATTTCTTTGCATTAGTGTATGCTACACTACCTGATTAAAACGCTAATTAAAAATTCTGAGCAGCAAAGCACAAATTTCCTTTCAAAATAAGCCAGTTATTGACAAGCAGTTACTGGGAGAGTTTGAATTTAATTACGTGCAGATCTTTAAAGATACTGGTGATATTCCAGGAAGGTGTTAGATGTGATCATTACAGACATATTGAAGTACAAACAGAAAAGAAGCCCACCTGATCTGAAAACAGCCACCTGAAAATGTTTCACAGCCCAGTGCATGCAGTGTTGTAAATACACAATATATATGTGGTATAGCTGTAGGTGAGAAGTCTTCAAACATCACCCTTATTGCTTGCAGCTGTAGCAGAGACTGCTTTTTAGCTTAGACAAGACAAACATGCTATATTTGCCTTTACCTTATAATAATAAGGTGACTTGGTGTATGGATTTAACACCACATAATCTTTGCACTACAGTAGTTTATCTCAAAATTATGTGTTAACTTATAAATAAGGTATTGCAAAAGAAAGCATCATTACTTGTCAGAGAGGGACTCATTTATGATGATGGGGTCTTTAAAGCCAAAGTTACACGGTTCTGGTATGTTTTTTAAAGCTATAGGAAGTCAGAATGGGATAAACTTGATACAAACACCCAAGATTTCTATCTGATTTAGCTTTTTTTTTTTTCCCAATCCTTTTGAGATCCATGAGTTTCGTTCTTCACGGACGCTGGCCTTCAGCTTAGTTGCTCTCACAATATTATTCAGTAGATCATCTCTTTGGAAAACACGAAATTATTCTCTACGCAAAGTTATTGTTATCAAGTGACCTATTTTCCTAGAGAAATAAAGCCCTTCAGATTTGATTTTTGGTCACTTGGATTAGGCAGAATTGAGTTTCTTAATGTTCGTCTTTATACAACCGCTCATAGTAGTCATGAGGCAGAAGTCCGAACGAAGAGTTCTTCCAAAATGACTTCTCCAAGCACGTACTGCTATCAGTGTCACCCAACATGTTTTCGTGTGGCAGGTGGCAGAAGGACCTTAGATGATACTCTTGAAAATGAGGACACCATAGCCACCTTCTGACTCTTTTTTTTGAGGATCTCATTAATTAATTAATATTAATCCTGGGGAGACATTGAAGGGTGATGCAGAATGGTTATTGAAATCAGTTGTAGTTTTTCTCTTCTGGCTCTTCTAAAGAGAACGCTTGTGACTATTTATTCTTAAGCATCTCTTTCTTTTGCTGAGCATAATGAGGAAGGAGAACTTTGTCTTGGAAAGGCTTAGTTTGCCCTTTCTCTGCACAGCATCTTGTACGTGTAGTTTAGGTAGTCATATTCAGTTGTGTAAATAAATGTCTGGGATTTGGTTCTGTTTGGCCAGGGTGGCTCTGTGTGCACACAGGTACACGCTAACGCAGGAGTCAGGCTGGAGGTTCCTACCAGAACATCAGTTAGCAAAGTCATACTCTCATTTTGGAAAATCAATAGGTGAAAACCAATTGGAAAGGCTTTTCTAAGGCATTTGTCTTGTGCGGTGGCAACTAGAGTGAAATTAGGAAACTTTCCTAAAAAGCATACTAAAGCTTCCTTTTATGAAGATTGTATTGGAGTAAGGATGCAGTGACAGGCTTAAATTAAATTGCTGAAACTTTTTGGTCACTGATTATAACCTAGCCTGAAAATTTATTGATCGAAGTGTCAGTAAGGAAATTAATTGGACCGACCTATTTGCAGGAGGGCAGGCTCTTTACGGAGGTATAGGGCTTAGTGGCAAGGGATTGTGCTAGCTTCATCTGTGTATTTTTTTAATCAGCAGCCACAAGTGTCAGGGTCTCCATTAGCTGTTTCTTCTTCCAGAAGAGAGTTCTTCCAAAGCAGAGTAATGACTCTGGAAGAATCTTTTCCATAGGGCTTTGTGGAACAGCTGTTTTCTGAATCATTTTCCTGATGCGTGCAAATTTTTAGAAGGGAGTTTGCTTTGTCACAAAGTTGTATGCTCATCTTGCCCTCTTATGCAAACCTGCACTTGTGAGTGCCGCAGACGACGAGTGATAAATTCAGCACAGTGTTCTGAGAAACGCTTGAAACTTGCCTGCTGCTCTTACTGTAGAGAAAGATTAGTGTTAATGCTCCTTGTTCCAAAGGCAGGAGGGTGGCAGGTACCTGTAATGCTAATACTATTAATTCTCTTGCTGCCTCCTGCATTTCAGAATCAAGAAGGAAATACTTTTGTAGAGCTTATCGAGTGAAATTTTTAGTATGAATTAGCTCTGCGCAGCCTTCAACTTGAATGCTCCTACACCTCTGTACATGCAGTAATTCTCTTGATGTAATGCTGTGCTACTTCTGGAGAAAATGGCAAAAATTATTAGATACATTTCCATTTGGTACCTTTGTTTTTGGAAGTAGAAAAATGTCTTGTGAAACCTTGAGTCCCGGTGTATGCTTTGAATTTTAGCTTATTAGTTGTGGCTGGCTCGGAGTTAAGAAATGTTTGGCTATTGTCAAGTGAAGTCCTGACAGTAAAAGCAATTCATGTATGTCTCTG